GAAGAAAGACGTGTGCGACCATCATCGTCGGGAATGGAACCCGCAACCTCTCGATTGGAAATCGACTGCACATACCACTGCACCATATGGGACACACTAGAGGCATAAAGACAGACCAATATTGTGCAGTAGGATCGACAGGGAACGCTATCTGCATCCTAAGTGAATGTCTTTGCACTTACTCAGTGATCGGCTGGACCATGGTGTCAGGCCACTCCGCAGCTGTAGAAGCAAAGGTCCTGAAGGCATCCATCTTGTTTCGGGACAGGGCATCAGCGATGATATTGGAAATGCCTGGCAGGTGCGATGCTCGGATCAGGAAATTGTGCTTCACACACATTGAGTACAGGGTGCGGATGAGTGCCATGACTGCAGGAGACCGGCTCGTGCCAGTCTTCAGGCACTCCACGACAGCTTGGTTGTCGCACTGAAACTCCACACGCAGCCACAGCCACTCTATCCCCCGTGTGGCGCAGGCCGCGACAATGGCGTAGAGCTCCTTGTAGGTAACGCTTAGTTCCAGTTGCTGCAGAGACCAGTCACCTCTGAACCAGCGACCATTGAAGAAGGCTCCAAATCCAATGGTACCACTTGCGTCAGTTTGCAACTGGAGGTCAGCGATGGGCATCCACTTCTCCAGCAGGTGAAAAATGACTTTCCGTTTCATGTTGACAGAGTCTGGTGCCACCAGCTCAGGTCGCCCTTGACTGAGGCTGAGAGGTGCAGCATTCGGTGAGATGACATCTCAGATGTGGCCTTGTCGAGGTCATACAGGCCGCATAAGAGTGTACGGGCGGCAGCAATTGCTGGGAAAGCGAACGAGAGGTGGCCCAGGAGTGAGGCGAGTTCGCATTTGAGAACGCAAATCTTGTCGAAGGTGGTAGAGACTGAACGACGTACGGCCAGAAGCTAGGTCCGAGGCAGACGCACCTCCAAGCGATCGGTGTCCAGCTCCAAACCGAAAGAAAGTGAGGACAGTGGAAGGACCCTCAACTTTCTCTGTGGCGACAGGTACGTTCAAGAACTGGAACAAGTCCAAGATGATGGCCTTGTGCTTGGCTGCCAGGGAGGAGCTTGGTGGGCAGATGTCGAAGAAGTCATCAAGGTAATGCATTGCGTCGGGCAAGGAGCCGACATAGACAAGGACCCAGTTGATAGCCGTTGCCAGCTGGTTGAAGATGAATGGTGATGGGCGGAGACCAAATGGAAGGACTTTCTCGTAATAGTACATGCCGTTCCAACGGATGCCGAGAAGATGCCAGTCCGAGGGGGTGACGGGACACAGGCGAAATGCATTACAGATATCTACCTTTGTCAAGAGGGAGCCCTTGCCGAGTCGCATAATTGCGGCAATTGCAGTGTCCACGGAGTCGTAATGCAGGCTGAACTGCCCGCGTGGTATAGCATCGTTGTAACTGCTGTCATCAGGAGACGACAGGTCCTGTATCACACGAAGTTTTCCATTGGACTTCGGCACAGCACCCATACCAGATGTCTGCATGCACAGAAAGGGTGGCTCCGGAAATGGACCTGCTGTTTGCCCAGCTTCACAACATTCGGTCAAATAGGAAGAAACATATTACGGATAGCCAACAGGTGATTGGGAGAACTATGAACACCAGATATAGCAGCAGAATGGCCTATTGTGAAACCGTGACAAAACCCATGCAACACAAAGTGATAGAAGTAGTGATCAGAATGACGGTTAAGGAGCCCGGCTAATCGGCTAACATTAATGAGGGTCTCCACAGAATGTTTACGGAGCAGACGCTGAGTTGGCGGACTGTCCCCTGCCACATTTGACTTCTGGATGCTTCCCTTGGCATTGAAGGCACACGTGGGCACAATAGCAGAATGAGTTGTTGCACTGCTCCCTGTTGAAGTTGCGGCAGATAGGCTTCCCAAGATGGGTTGGCGCGCTGGACTGTGGCGGACCTCCACTCCCAACGCCGACGGATGGAGGCCCTGGTCTAAAGGGACACCGGGCCTGGGCCACTGGGTGCGCCAAAGAACAGTGCGAACAGCGGGCGACCACGGCTGGTGAATGACGACTGCCACAAATTAGAGTCGATGATAGCCCAGTCGTACGACGGTGGTTGGGAGGCTATGGCGCGCCGGAAATGCCTGTCATAACTTAGCCATGCGTCCACATGATACGAGTTATTTGCATCCAGAATAGTGGCCTGATATGCCAGAAAATCATTTGCCCTATCTGGAGCCGCCGCGACAATTACTCTCGTGTAGACAGTTAACGCCTCGAGCCATGATGCTACATCGTTGACATGGCGGCGCTGGGCCTGAGTTGGCTTCTGTACAAGTTGGACAGAGCGGTTGGCCCCACCGCTAGCTGGACCACATCGGGCTCCACACCCAGCTGGTCCGGGAGATCGTCGAAATCAATAAACTCGCCGCGTAAAATTTGCCCGCGGAGTTTAGCAGGTACAGAGAGCGACGGACGAGCAGCCGGCAGATGGCCCAATGCATGAACGGAGCTGGAGTTGACAGGCAGCACGACGGCTGCAGCAGATTCCAACTGCTCTACTCGCTCCATCAGGGCCTGGAGGACCGTGCCGACGGCCTGAGAAACAGCCGAAGCAAGTTCATCAGGGACCACACTCAAGGCGGCGGCAGAAAAAACTGATGGCACAACGTCGGAGACAACAGAGGCTGTGGAGGAAGATAATGGAGTCCCGGTTGGTTGACGACAAACAGGATTAGGCCTCGCGCGCGCATTACTACCTGCAGCCGAAGTTTGAGTTGCAGCCCCGGGATCAGGGGCCGCATTCAAGGCGGCGGCAGAAAAAACTGACGGTGCAATGTCGGAGACAACAGAATCCGAGTGGGGTATTGGAGTTCTGGGCGGTTGATGACGAACAGGCTTTCGCCGCACACGTACATTGCGTTCTGTATCCGAAGGTTGAGCTGCCACTCTGGGCGATGGCGTCTTTTGTCTGGTCGAGAAACGAGCCATCGTGAGAATATAATACTCGCCTACTCAAACTATAATCTCTGGCCGCTTAAGACAAGTAGTCTGACGGGACTGAGCTGAGAGAGAACAAGGAAAGCGAATACTAAAGACGGCAAGACGCCAGCGAATCGGTAGAACTAGGACTGACACTCAGAATTTTCAGAATTTCAGAATTTGAAAGCCGACTGCAGGCAAGTAAACTGGAAAGACAGTCTATGACCCTTGAAATTGCTGCCGCTTCGCCAACTTGCTGGATTTTTCTGAGCAAGGTTGGTCAATCATTGACTGCTGTGTTAAATACATCTACGAGCGAAATGAGAAAGAATTGTTGCGACTCGTAGCAAACATAATTTCCGTTCGACATCGTGTCCGGAGACCATCGTTGTGATTCAAGCTCAAGTAGCAGAGTAATTCCTGGAAACTATTTCTAGGAATTTTACTCGATTATATCGCGTCCATTCCTATCCAGCTGAATGGCTGTCGACAGATTACTGCGGGAGCAGAGGACGCCTCTTGCGACAAGTTGCGAAAATAATGCCATGAAATCGCTCGAAGTAGACTCCTCTCCAATTTTCTGTTTTTCCTCCTACCTTGTGTACTTGATCATGACATGAATCATATTCTGGTCAATAAATGCGAATAATGCATCTGCCCCGTCTTCAAAATGATGAATATCCCGGAAAAGCCCTCAAACTTCCGAAACAACAACCGGTTGCGTATGCTCGGGCTTGCTTGGTGCAACACATTTTCCACTACCTACCTACTTTGCCAGAGAACACAGTTCCATGAAGGAGATCCGGCCCGAGTTTTGGAGCAGGCGACAACTTTCACACCAAGGTTCAACTCGAGTTCAACTCGAGTGACAGGACTGCACCCAAAAAAGGTCAAACAGGCTAGTAAGTTGTACCCTGCAGGCATGGTGACCAGGTGACTGGTGTACGCAGGAGCACATGACCGCTTGTTCAACCATGTTCGATTGGGAATAAAGGAGGAACGCTGCATCGCAGCCATTTCGGACCAAAACCAGTCGACTCAGCGTCCAAAAGACTACAACATATGGGCCAATCGCGTTCATCCGTGCTTTTATAAGAACGAAATGGCGCTTTTAGTGACAATTTGCATACAAATCCCCATCTAGTAGGGCGCAGTCACCCAGTTTCGGTGGAAGTGTGCGAGTTCGATTGGGATTTAAGTAGGAAGGGAGCGTCTCAGCTTTCTCGGACCAAGACCATTCGACTCAGCACCCCGAAGACTACAACTGGTGAAATATTGATTTTGCCTTAACTTCCCCTTCATCGGAAATGTAGTGTCCGTGATAGGTAAATGCCTTACCTGGTGTAAAATGGTGACCGTATTCCTCGTTTCAGCAATTACAAAGTGAGACCGGTGGCTGCTCACGAACTGCAACCTCCAAAATAGTTTTCCAGGGTACGGCATAAGTGTCTACATCACTCAGAGTCATCTCTCCAGTGTAGGAAAGGTCTCCTGGGGAGACTAGAAGGGCTCTAAGGAGCAAATTTCATTGGAATATTCACTATTCGGAAATAGGCGAAATCAACAGAAAACAAGCTCGCAGGTGCGGCGCCATGGAGGCTACGATTCCCGCGAGAAAAAAATAATTCTCTTGAAGGCCTTGGCGTTTTTAAAATGGGCATTGTTTGATTTCCCACTCCACTTTCCCAAATAAACCGAAACTCACAACTGAACAGGAAAGTTGCCCCCCCCCCCTCCCCCGACACCGCCAAAGTGTTACTGCCAAGGTTCTAGGACAACTTGTACTACTGACTCTAACAAGAAAAGTACCCCTGATCATTTCCCCTGCCAAACACCACCTATGTCCTATATTACTACACTAAAATTGCAAATACAAGTAGTTTGTTGGTGCACTTAAGCAGTTGATGTCACAAGCCATCTATTAATTTCACTGTATTGGTTATGATATAATAATTATATCCGAGTCATAGGATCTCAGTTATTTTCTTTGATCTACATTGGACATTGCTTCTTTCATAATTATGTCCTACGATTTCAGAATATGCTCCTTGTTCATCGGTCGAGTGCAAACAAGAAGAATTCTGTAATTCGACGGGACAATGTGAATGTAGAATGCCTTACTATTACAATGGTACAAGTTGCTCTCGTAAGTAAAAGCAATGAGCTGTATTGCTCACTCTCTCAGAGATTACAACTATTCTAAGTAGTCGACCATTGCAAAGTACAAACATAGTCTAAGCAATGCGAAATTATTTTTGATACGCCAGCAGTAAGGTGGTGTGTGGCATTCCTAGTTTGAACCCAGATCCTAAAATGCCATATGACACTCTATGCACCGTACCAGCCCCAGATCTTGATCCAGACCTTGACCTTCAAATTGGATAAAACTGGCTTTAATCTTGATGAGACCGATGACGGCCACTTTCCTACAGAGAAGACGATAGTTTAAGTATCAGGAACGAACGACCACAAGGCACGATGACAACTATTTATTCTCAACAGTATGTTGACTTCGATCGACAAATTAATGAATAACTAACACTAAAACCACCAGGTAGTTGTAGCATGAAAATGACAGTGTATATGAGAAAAGCATACACATACAACATACAAATACAGCGCACACAGCAAACCGCACATAGCGCCTGTAGCGTACACCACGTCGTAAACATCAGCGGTACGGCGGTGTCGGGATACAACTGCATTGAAACGAACACAATGTGACAAGCGAGAAGGCCTTTCACTCTTGAAATTTGTGATTTCGCAACATTCTCCCCACCAGAGGGCTTCTCACCGCCGTACAACAACTCACAAGTGAAAAGCGACCGGGGCTCTGACTAAACGCCCAGAACGAGTCATCCGCTGTTGTGGGGGTGGGGAAGGTGGAATATTACTACTGCTCACCACTTCGGCCAACTCGATTTCGCGAAGCTTGCCCCTGTGGGATATCACACACGAAACGGTCACCGGTCCACTTCAACGTGGGGCGGACGCTGGACCAGACAGCACACAACCGATAATTTCACCTAGCTTGCAGATCGGGGCTGTCACACAGGACATGGTCACTGGGCAACTGCCTCGTGGGGCAGACGCTGGACCAGATAACATACATCCGATCTCCGTGTTGCACACAGTCACTCCGCTCACTCCTTCCGTGCTAACTGTAGCGTATAGCATGTCCCGTACGGTAGCGTATCCCCGTACGTTACTGTATCCCCGTATCTTAGCATATTCCCGTACGTTGCTATATCCCCGTACGTTATCGTATCCCCGTACATTAGCGTACGGAGTCTGCCTTTGCATAAAAGCTGCTGCTCACGATTCTTTTAATTGCCAGTTAGTTAATTTAGTTGCGAGTTAATTTCATTGTCAGTTATAGTTACATTTCAATTGCCAGCTACAGTGTGTTCACTGCGACCCATGTGCATTTGCCTCCGAGAGAGACTGCGGCCCGCTACAAAATTGGTGGGAGCGGTAAATTCATTTTGTTTCATTCTATACCTAACTTTGTTACTTTACACGTTTCTCCGATTCGATGGCTCAGCCGAATGTACCTGCCGTGGTACCCGTCGCTGCACCCGCTGAAGCCCCGCTCCTGCCCAACCACCGAGAGCGGCGTACCATGTGCAGCCCGAAAAATACAAGGGTCGCCTGGAGGACAACTTCGGGTCCTGGCTGATGCATTTCTACCAGGTCGCCGCGGTAAACAACTGGACCCCCGTTCAGCAGACGCAGTTCCTGGGCCTCGCACTGGAAGGCGAGGCCCAGCTGTATTACCAATCGCTTCCAGCGGCCACCAGGAACGGAGGCCACCAACAGCTAGTCCAGGCGCTGCAAGCTCGGTTTGATCCAGCGCAGCGCGTCGACCTCAATCGCGCAACGTTTCAAGCTCGTCGCCAGGCCAAAGGCGAACAACAGGGTACTTTCCGTGAGGCGGTTCGCTCCCTGGCCCGGCAAGCTTACCCCAAGATGGCCGCAGGGGATCTCGACAGCCTAACAAAAGACCAGTTTATCTCCGGGTTTGACTTGCGGGGCATGCGGGTCCGCGTTCGGGAGCTAAACCCGCAAACAACAGACGGGGCCCTCCAGGCCGCGCTCCATTACCAGGCAATCCTAGTTGCCGAACTGGCCGCCGCGGAACCTGTGCCGATCCCTGCCTTTGCTGTTTCCCAGCCACTCGACACGGTGACAGACCAACTGAAAGCTGTGTTAAACCGTCTGGCTACGTTGGAGGCCAGTCTGCCAGGACCAATTCGTTGGTCTCAACCTGATCAACTACCACAGCCCCCGCAGACGCAAGGCCGCACACCTGTCACTTGCTGGTCATGTGGCCGACAGGGTCACATCAGCCGAGAATGCCGTGCCCGTCGTCCTGCGCGGGTGGGAAACTACCGGCGGCAGTACTAAGTACCACGGACGCTAGCCCTGCCGCACCCTGCTCTTCCGGGACCTACGTAAGCACTGTGTTGTTATGACTTGCTGGCTTGCTCCTTGCCCACCCTGTTACCATGGTTACGCTCACAATTTTAACTGTTTTGCTCACTGTGCTGTACCGCCACCGCCTCCCTGATGTACGTGCTTTTCTCCCCGACCTCTCCCCATTACACTTCTTTTCGTCGAGTTTGTCCCGACGCGACCATGCATGCCGCCTACCTGTAATACCCGTGACTGTGAACGCAGTCGATTCCAATGCTTTGTTAGCCAGTGGGTCTTCCAAGTCAATTGTGAGCAAGAAGCTGTGGGATTCTCTGAGTAATCGCCCATCCCTGTCCCCTCCACCCCCCTCACGCATCCTTTCTGTGGATGGCTCGTCCGTAGCGATTTAGGTCAAGCTGAGTTGCACATTTCTGTTTCGCCCACCACCCCGCCTGTCCTGCATGAGTTCTTAGTTGCCTCCATCCATCCCGAGGTCATTCTAGGGGTTGAATTTTTGCCTGCCCAAGCGTGTTCGCTTGATTTCGCCCCTTCCAACATGTCCATTGCTGGTCACGTTATTCCCCTGCATTCCCCCACTGTGATCCCGTCACCTGTCCATGCCGCTTCGCTCTCCGCTACTCCCGTTTTATGCACGCTTCCCGCTGCTGTGACCGTCCCTGCCATGTCTCATTACATTTGCTCCGCAAAAGTTGCTTCCCGCCATTATTCTGATAGCCCCCTGCTGTTTGAGCCTTGTGAGTCTACCTGCAGTACTCACCACATTGTCGGCCTCGGTACTCTGGCTACCATCACTGATAACATAGTGCCCGTCCGTCTGATCAACCCCAATGAGCACCCCATCACACTACCTGAGAACTGCCCGCTTGGCTCTCTGTCACCAGGCACCATCGACTCTTCGGCCACAAAACCTCCTGCTGATTACCCCGCCGAGTACACGTCTGCTGCTGCTACCGCTCAGTCTGTCACTGCTATGTTCAACACCAGCAATCTGCCGCCTGATCAACAATCCCAGCTCCACGCTCTGTTAGAGGAGTTTTCCGACATCATCTCAACCGGCCCATCTGACGTGGGTCGCACTCAAGTCATCACTCACGACATTCCTACTACAACGGACCAGCCTATTCGGATGCAGCCTCGCCGCCTGCCCGTGCACCGTCAAGCTGAGGTACGGGATCATATTGACCGACTCATTGATGATGGTATAGTGGAGCCTTCCGCGAGTCCATGGGCTGCTCCAATAGTCGTCGTACGCAAACCGGATGATAGTATCCGCCTCTATGTCGATTACCGCAAACTCAACCAGCGCACTAAGCGTGATGCCTTCCCGTTACCCCGCGTCGACGATGCTATTGACGCCATGCAATGCTGTAAGTACTTCTTGACACTAGATTTGGCATCCGGTTACTGGCAGGTAGAGCTCACTGAATCTGCCAAGGTAACGTCTGCCTTTACCACTCCGTTCGGCTTATTTCCGTTGAATGTTATGCCTTTTGGATTGTGCAACGCACCTGGCACGTTTCAGCGCCTGATGTCTACAGTGCTTCGTGTCCTCATCCCAGCAATCTGCCTCGTATATCTAGACGATATCATTGTGTTCTCCAAGACGTTCCAAGAGCATCTCACCAACCTCCGCGCTGTGTTCCTGTGTCTCCGCAAAGCTGGTCTGAAGATCAAGCCATCGAAATGCAACCTACTACAACCGTCTGTCGTCTACCTGGGCTTTCACTTCGCCCACGACGGCATTCGTCTTAACCCTGGTAAACTGGAATCTGTCCGCACCTGGCGTCAACCCACAAGTAAGACAGCAGTTAAGACATTTCTTGGCTTTGCGTCTTATTACCACCGATTTATTCCAAAGTTTTCAATGCTTGCCCAGCCACTGCATTTCGTCACAGAATCCAAAGCCACCTTTGCTTGGTCAGATGCTTCATCTCAAGCTTTCAATACGCTAAAACATGCACTTCTTACCCGCCCAGTTCTTGCATACCCCATTCCGAATCACACGTTCATCCTCGACACAGATGCTAGTGACTTTGCTATGGGCGCTGTGCTCTCTCAGAAAGATTCAAATGGCACAGAGCATGTTGTAGCTTACGCTAGTAAGAGCCTTTCACATAGCCAACGCCGCTATAGTGCTACTAGGAAGGAACTTCTAGCTGTTGTCACATTCTGTGAATATTTCCGTCATTATCTTGCTGGCGCACACTTCACACTACGCACTGATCACAAGGCTTTAGTCTGGCTGCACAACTTCACTGGCACAGATGGCTTGCTTGCTCGCTGGATTGAACGCTTGGCTATGTTTGATTACCGCATTATCCATCGCCCTGGTAAGGCTCATGCTAATGCGGATGGTCTCTCTCGCAAACCTCCTTCACCGCCCGCCGAACCTGCCCTGACAAATGCTGCCATTAGTACTGATGCTTCGCTGCCTCCTACATCGCTAACGCGGGTCCGTGATGCCCAAAACCAGGATCCTGATGTCACCGCAGCTATGACGTGGGTCCGGCAGTCTCAGCGGCCTGATCGTCACAGCCCTGAACTGCAAGGTTCTAGCAGGTTCCATCTCGCTCTCTACCATCAGTTCAGCCGCCTGATACTCGACAACGACATTCTGTACCGCAAGTATGAATCGGAAGATGGTAGTTCGCACTCCTTGCAGCTGGTGATTCCCCCGTCCAACAAGAAGTGCTCGCCTTACTTCACAGTCACATCACTGCTGGTCACATGGGTACCAATTGAACAACGTCCCAGGCCCGACCGCGCTTCTATTGGCCTGGTATGTCCGATGATATTGACCTGTTCATTCGCACCTGTGAAGTTTGCCAGCGCCGCAAACCACCTGTCCCAACACCTTGGGCGCCAATGGTTACGTCGCAGCCTTCCTTTCCTCTACAACGAGCCGGAATGGATATTATGGGCCCGCTTCCGGTGACACCTCGAGAAAACCGCTACATCCTCATCGTTGGAGACTATTTCACGAAGTGGTACGAGGCGTTTCCGCTCCCAGACATCCGGGCCGAGACAGTCTCCCGGTATTTCGTAGATGGCTTCGTCTGTCGCTATGGTGCACCGCATAGGCTGCACACTGACCAAGGTGCCCAGTTCGAGTCCAACCTGTTCAAGTCCATCTGTGCAATGCTGGATATTCACAAAACTCGAACGACGCCCTACCATCCCCAGAGTGACGGCCTCATCGAGCGGTTTAACAGAACACTGGAGCGCATCCTCGCCACCACAATCAATGATCACCAGGATTGGGACCTCTATCTGCAACGTGCTCTATTAGCTTACCGCATGAGCGTGAATGACACCACAGTGTTTACACCTTTCGTCTGATGTTTGGCCGAGAAGCAACTCTGCCCATCGATCTCGTGTACGGCCAACCACCTGCTACACCACCCACTACTGCCCCGCGTTATGTCCTGCAACTTCAAGACTCCCTGCGTAAGACATTCACCACTGCCCGAGCCCAGGGTGCCAAAGCCCAACAACGTCAGAAGAGGTACTATGATGGCAACGCTCCGCCCACACAGTATGCCATAGGCGATCTGGTATTCCTGCACTCTCCCGTTGTTCCCGCTGGCCAGTCTCCCAAGTTCCATTCTCCACGGACAGGAGCCCACCAAGTTGTCACTGTTCTCGACAATTTCACAGTCCGCATCGAAGCTCCCCGAACGAAACGCCGTCAAGTTGTTCACATCAACCGCCTGAAACAGTATGTCTGCCTACCACCTGTTGCTCCGCCTCCGACCACTTACACTCCAATCATTCACCCTTTAATGCCACACCCTGCTCAGCCGCTCCCTCAGCCGCTACCTCCTGCTCCTGTAGTTCCACCTCCTGTTCACCCCTACAATCTTCGGAACCGCCAATGATCCGCCCACCAAACCGCTACTAATCACGAGGACGTGATTGTATTTGAGAGGGGAGGTGTAGTGTATAGCATATCCCGTACGGTAGCGTATCCCCCTACGTTACTGTATCCCCGTATCTTAGCATATTCCCGTACGTTGCTGTATCCCCGTACGTTATCGTATCCCCGTACATTAGCGTACGGAGTCTGCCTTTGTATAAAAGCTGCTGCTCATGATTCTTTTAATTGCCAGTTAGTTAATTTAGTTGCGAGTTAATTTCATTGTCAGTTATAGTTACATTTCAATTGCCAGTTACAGTGTGTTCACTGAGACCCGTGTGCATTTGCCTCCGAGAGAGACTGCGGCCCGCTACACTAACCAGTATCGCCCTTCTCATTTCCTTAGCTTCTACGCCTTGCGCTTCTACGTCTTGCGCTTCTACTTCCACTGGCTTCAAATACTCCTCTGACCGCTGCTTTTCTGTGAGCAAAGTCTTCCACTCCTTGTCTGGCGTCCTTCCGAGCGAGGCAAGCAAATCTCGCTTTGCTTCCTCATATGTACTGCTGGCGGTGCGGTCGTTCATCTTCTTGAGCTTTCCGTTAAACTCTGTGCGGAGGGCACCCTCTTGCCGTCTAGCTCGGCGCTCTTCACGCACCTCGCACTGTCGGAGCCTCTTCTCCGCGTACTCCATTAGCCTATCCCCTTCAAATCCTTGACAAATTCCGTTGGCGATAATTCTCTCTTCAATGGTCCATAGTTCCTGTGCCATGCTCGCTTCGATCCTGGCGTGGTCGCCAAATGTTGTAAACCCTCTGGTTCTCTTAAGTATCAGGAATGAACGACCACACGGCACGAGGACAACTATTCACTCTTGACAGTATATTTCACTTCGATCGACTAATAATAATGAGTAACGAACACTAAAACCATAGGTAGTTATAGTCTGAAAATGACAGCGTATATGAGAAAAGCATACACATACAACATACAACTACAGCGCACACAGCAAACCACACATAGCGCCTGTAGCGCATACCACGTCGTAAACATCAGCGGTACGGCAGAGTCGGGATACAACTGCATTGAAACGAACACAATGTCACAAGCGAGAAGGCCTTTCACTCTTGAGAACTTGTGGTTCCGCAACAGTAATGTTCTTTTTGTATACGTGAAGTAAATGCATTCACAATATTTTCTTCGATATGACTTTTTTACTGTCTGCTGGTGTGTCTGCTCCTCCTTCCCAACAGGCATGTATCCAAGTACTGCTCGTTGCCCACTTGCATCCTTACATATCCCACTAGGATACCATTTTGAACCCGTGTTTCTGCCACAAGCCCCGGGAATGTGCAAGGATGCTGGTATGGTGATTCCTACACTTGACGATGGCATTGACGGCCAAAAATTGGTGGAACGCTGTGTGTATGATATGATCCAAAATTATCCACTTGCCATTGGCAATCTTCCAACTTTAAATCCATACTATCTTGGGGTCAGTGTTTACCTGAATGGTCTAAGGGGAGTATACTTCCGCAATGGAGTGTTCCTGAGTACCGGTAATATTAATAGGGGATTGAGCAGGGATGATTCACGGATAACAGCTCGCGTGATTTGTGCTGGTGAGGTTTGTTCTCTGAACAGAAACATTTTGTATTCCGGTACTCCACGTGAACTTTAGCGTGAATCCGTTTTGTGGATACACATAGGTGCAAAATGTCTTGCACCTTGGACCCAAGAGCACGTGACCTCTTATTCAACCATGTTCGATTGGGAATAGGGGTTGAACGCTGCATCAAGGCCTTCTCGAACCAAAACCAATGGAACTCAGCGTCCGAAACACTACAACATATGGGCCACTCGCCGCCATCTGTGCTTTTATAGGAACGAAGTCGCGCTTTAGTGACATTTTCCATAAAAATTCCCATCTAGTAGGGCCCAGTCACCCAGTTTCTGTGGAAGATGCGAGTTCCTTTCGGGATAAAGGAGGAAGGGAGTGTTGTAGCTTCCCGGGACCAAGACCATTCAACTCAGCACCTCGAAAACTAAAGCTGGTGAAATGTTGATGATAGGTTTTACCTCCCCTTGATGAAAATGCAGTCAGCATAAATTTCAACCTCTCATTATGTATACTTGTTGAAGTATGTTTGGGGCAGAACAGATGGCTCCCAATAGAGTTCAGCATGCTTTTCGATGTAACATCACGTCCTCCCTCCAGTTCAAGGTTGTGTTGCACGCGTATTGTCTTACTGTGGCGTGAACAGCCCCCCCCCCCCCCCCCCTGTCTTGAGTACTAGTAATCCTGAGGTTCTGAGACATGCCGAGGCTAGCTGTATTCTCAATCTCCGGGTAGCTGTATGCTCAGTCTATACATTCTTGATCTTATCTTTTCTTTGCTTCTTCTTTTCTCTCAGGCTCTCTTTCTTTTTTTTAATGTTTTACTGCCAGAAGTCGTCTTCATATAAGGAGGCAGATCTGCCTGTTTGTTGTACGACTTTAAGTAAATCCAACCAACCAACCAAGTGCTGCAACATTCTGCCGCACAGGGAGCATTGAGTGTTATGACCTGCAGAGGTTGGGTTCAAGGGATTGGTGCTGCAATTCGTCCAGCACGGTGATGGATAGACTGGGACGCACTCAGCCATGATATTGTGTTGACTTATAGCAACACAATAAGGTCACCTATGTACATGTGATGTGTTTTAAATCCGTTGATCCCCGATCTGCAGAGAGTGCTCAATGTAAGAGACAGAGTTACAACCAACCTGAACGTCCTCCGCTGAGCCTGCTATGTGGTGTGTTTTATATATTTGCAGCATTTAATGATTGCACATCACCGCCCGCTATTCCAAATTCCATAGTTAAATGGGTAAAAAGTCAACCAACAGGCAGTGATACGTTCACATCGGGCAAAGTATGGGTCCAATGCGACAAAGGTTACGTATATGAGGGTCCGCTTCCTTTAGTTTGTGCAGGCAATGGCAAATGGAGTTCTGAAGATAATTTGCGTAAGTCATTCAGAATTACATTGTCGGTGAAGAAAGCAGACTGAGTGCTGTTCTGCTCAAAATGTCTGCTGCTTGTAGCACTTCATCCATGCGTTGCAGAGATGAATCTTTCAAATATACAATAAGAAGAGCCAGAAAGAACTGATTCTCATATAGATTGCCTGGTGTCTTTGGTTTATGCAGGTTTGCGTCGAAAGGCTTATGGAAAATGTCTGAGTAAGTACATTGTTATGCAAACATGCAGTTATGCAGTGAAAATATTAAATTTACCTTTCAACAACACCATAACAGGAGCCGACCATCAGATTTTGCTCAACTGTGTCTCCTAGTTACCGTATTATTAAAATTACAAGTATATGATCTCGGATGTCGAGCCAAAGTAATCATGGGTTAAAAGAAAAGGACAAAATGTTACAAGTTATGGCTGGCTGTCCACCAACATAACCAGATCATAATTATACAGTCAGAGTGTGGCTGTATATGTTGTGCTTACGTTGGTGAACAGCCAGTCATGATTTGTAACATGTTGTCCTTCCTGTTAATCCATGATTCTCACAAAGATGAATTTTTATATTAATGAATTTAGGATTTTGTGTCCGCAGCTCAGTTCTTGCCAGAAAATACATGGGCCAGTGCATGCAATACCGTGTCTAAGAGCAAAATTTAGGAAAATTTTTTTTCCCTTGAAAATCAATCACAGGGGTCTAAAGAACACCTCTGTGGAAGATAAAGTTGGATATCATATTTGAAAGTATACAGAGACCATGATTTCTATGGCATTGTCCAACACGGAATATGCCTTATAATGCATTATCTACAGTGTTGCTGAAAACAGCTACAGGTTTGCGAGGCAGACTTTAGTCTTGCCCAAGACAATCAGTGAAGGCTGCCTTGTTCTCCGCATGACAAAACCCAGCAACATTGTCCAGCAAGTACTTTCGGCGTAGAGCTGACAAGCCTGCTTCTGGAAGCACATCAGGAAGAGAGCTGCTTGAGAAGCCTGTGGTGTCACTGGGATTACGCAGCAGCTGGATGGTGTCACCTTCTTCAGCAGCCGACGTTTTTTTCATCTTGATTTTGCCTGGTTGTTCTTTGGTCATGTTGAAATGCTGGTACTGTGTTATGCCAGCAAGGCGCTTGAAGTAACCCTGAAGAAAGGAATCCCAGTCCCTCCACTCCCAGTTTTTCGTACTGGCGACGTTCGAGCAAGCAGATTCCGTAACGACACTCACGAGCTGCTCCATCGTGTCAATATCACCTAGTCGGTACTTTTGCTTCGCAAGACCGAATCCTCCATCAACTGAACACCGAGTGTGGCCGACCACCATAAAGGAGATATCAATCTGATCCTCCAGTCCGCATAGCAAACGCCAGCAAAGATACGCCATCATTGTTTTGTTTTTGTTTTGGCCGCAACAGTTGTCACAGTGGAGGTGGAGCTTGCGGCCATGAACGGAGCTCTCAAGGTAAGCATGTAGCATTGATATCACACAGTTAGGGTTGTGATTCAGCTTGTTGTCTTCTCCCATTGTTTGACCCTCATGGTAGAGATGATGAATTTGCTCTTTGGATGCTTCATTGACGATGCCGAAGTCATTCACACGGAACATAACTTTGTAGTAGACCGGCCCTGGTTGTCTCGCGTGCTGAGGCAGGACGAATTGCTCGGCAAAGTCGAAAGTCAAATGAGTAAATTCAGGGTTGGCTGGATTGGCCACCAGAGATTCGGATGCCTGTTCAATCACTGTCGTGTAGAACTCGCGCTCTTTTTGTGCAAGGACCACATGGTCACGGAGCGCTTCCGTCGCAGAAATCTTTTCATCCTCTGCACGAGCAGAACGAATATCGTCCCTGAGCAGCTCACACTTGTTGCACACATCCATCCGCCGCGTCATAAACTTGATGGACTTGCACTTTTTCGTCCACAGGTACAAAAATGCACGGTAACCCCGGGTTTGCGCTTCACCGGACTGCTTTACGTATTCGGAGTGTACGGACTTGTAAGTGGCAGATGCAGGTAAGTAGATGGGAGCTTCCTCACCTCTTCCTCTTGGGGCTGCAGGCATTGGGAGACCGAACACTAAGCTATAGTTCAAGATGAACTGCTGTGCTCTGTCTCCCACTTCTGCTGGAAATTTGTTCCAAGGCACATTGCCAACGTTTCCGTGAGCACCTGGGTGACAGCTACCATTCTCCACATCCAGTTGCAGACGACGCAAACGCGTTCTGCCAACCATATGCAGCTTCATGAACGCGGTACGACACACAATGTGGCCCATCACAGTATAACCAAATGTGATGCGCGTACGCTCCGGATCTGCTGCGGAAGCTGCAGAAGCTGTCGACTGATTATGTACGACAGGGTCGTCGCGTGTGCAGCGCGCAGCCAGCACACCAATCAAAAAAATGTCTAGCTCTTTGGATTTCATTGCCGAGACTTGGTCTTGGTAGTGAAGGATTGAGTTCGAAGTGAAGCTGCTATAGTGGTTGCTCTGCACGCAGCCACAGCCTTGAAGAATCAGAGAGTCCACAGCGGCAACGCTCTGAAGCGCGTCTTGTTCATCGTCTTCATCGTCGCTTGCTGAATCAGTGTCTCCACCTGATTCCTCGGCACTCGACTCACCTTCAAGCTCAACCCAGGAGTCTTCCACGCGCGGGCGCTTAGCAGGAGGCTCATCAGACTCACTACCAGACAGTGAGCGAGTGCAGCTGCTAGTTGCCGACTCCTCCGACTCGCCAAAGAAACTGTCGTCTTCCGCCTCGAGAACTTTGCCGATCTCTTCGGAGGCGCCGATAATCACGCGGGCGGTACAGCCGGACCGACGTGCTGCTCGGCTTCTACCTCGAGTGTGACTACTCACAGGCCCTTCCTCAAGTGCTTCTTCCAACTCCTGCTGTGCCGCCACGTCCATGATGATTGATGAAAGTCGATCGCTTGTCGCTTCTCTTGAGATCGAGCTGGAATGTCGACAAGATCAGCGATCAAGCTAAACAAATGTTTGCTCTTCTTTCCGATCGATTTTCTCAAAATTCTGAAAGAAATCGGTTTCCACCGAAGACACGTTTTCGCATGCACTGGCCCACATGTTGTAAACCACCAGTTCTCAATTGGGAAAGGCCTTCGCGCTTATGGCATTGTATTCGTTGAAATGTTGTATTTCGACTCCGCCGTACCGCTGATGTTGCTGCATGGCATACGCTATATGCGTTGTGTGCGTTTTGCTGTATACGCTGTTATGTCCAGTTTTATCTGCTTATGTTTTGCATGTACGCTGTTTTTGCATGCTATAAATAGCTGGTGTTATTAGTGTTCATTGTTAATTATCAGATGAAGTGAAATATACTGTGTAAAGGAAAAGAGTTGTCCTCGTGCCGTGTGGTCGTACGATCCTGACAATTTAGAGAATCTTGCAAGGTTCATAACATTTGGCGACCACGCCAGGATAGGAGCGAGCATGGCAGAGGAACTATGGAACAATTTGGAAGCCAGCTTTATCGACAATGGAGAGCGGTTAGGATTAGAAGGCGAGTTGTTGAAGGTACATGTGGAGCAGAGGCTCCAACAGTACGCGGAGCGTGAGGAGCGCAGTGCCAGACGGCGAGAGGAGGCGCTCCGCACCGAGTTTGCCAAAACACTAAAGGAGATTAACGAGCGCATCGCCAATGCGCAGGAGGGTGAGGGTAAAGCCACGATGGGAGGTACAGAGGAATCTCCCAGTCACAGCGGTGGGCGTCAACCGGTGATGAAAATCCCCTCATATGATGGAACGCAGCCATTGGAGCGTTATCTTGACCTGTTCGAGGACATCTGTTCCAAGAACGAGTTCGAAGAAAGCGAATGGCTGCTGCGACTGCGCATTGCGCTAGCGGGTAGCAAAGCGGAGAGGATATGTATTGGATGCAATAATTACGAGGAAGCAAAACGAGAGTTGCTTGCCTCGCTCGGAAAGACTCCGGATAAAGCGTGGAAGACATTGCTGACAGGCAAGCAGCGGTCAGATGAGTCGTTTCATCAATACGTTGTCCGTGTTTGCCGAGAGGTAGAGGTGTGGGCCACACTCCTATGACAGAAGATGGCGAGGTGGACACCAAGTATAGCGCCGATATAGGAAAAATGTCCCCGGTGCTGCAAGCAATGGCAAAGCAGGTAATCTTGGAGCAATGCAGACCTGAGATGAAGACGTACCTGGTCGAACGGCAGTGCTACGGGATGTCACTGCGCCAGGTACAGGAGCACGGCGCGTCTTACCAGGTCGCGCACGGACGACAGGGTGATACTGCCAGGAAGCCAGTAGAACGATCCGTGCCAAGGCCCACGGCGTCGGCACAGTGCATGGCGATATCGGTCGCAGATGCAGAGAAGCAGCTAAAGTCGCTGCCACAGGAAGGGAGAAAGGGTTTTCTGCAGCGAGAGAGACTCTGCTGGAACTGCCTTAAGTATGGCCATATGGCCAGAGAATGTCGGTCAGGCTCGAGATGCACGAAATGCCAGAGGAAACACCACCTGCTAATACATGATGTGTTGGATAGAGCAGGTTACAGCCGGGAGAAACCGACTGAGATAGTTACGGAGAAGAATGTTGGGTCGTGCTGTCTACACTCGCCAAGTGTGCGGCTGATGACCGGAGTGGCACGAGTTGAGGGAAGAACTCGAAACGCGAAGGTTCGCGTGTTCCTGGACTCGGGTGCTGAGGCGTCATTCGTGACTGCAGCGTTGGTGTCAGCAATCGATGCAGAACACGTTGGGGTTGAAAATGTAGAGGTGAAGCCGTTCGGCGCGGAACCAACCCAACAGCGCATGGATAAGTACGCCATCACGATCCAGGGTAGCTCCGCTAGCATTCGGGTACGCGCGTTCGTGAAACCAACGCTTGAGCTGGACCTGAAGTGCGCAAGTCCGCAGACCATTGCGCAGTGGCACAGTTGGGGAGTAGAGCTGAGTGACAAGCCTCAACAAGGGACATCAGACGAAATACATATGCTGATTGGTGCAGACTATATCAACGCGGTACTGCACAGCAAGAAGGAAGTTAATGGTGAGACGGTGTGGAACACAGAGATAGGTAATGTATTATCTGGTCCAGCGTCTGCACCAAGTCGAAACAGTCAGCCGGTGACCGTGTCATGTGTCACAGCCCACATCGACAAACTATGGCAGTTGGATGAACCTCCAGAACAACATCAGCACCTGCCATCTTTCCCGCTATGTCGCCAGG